CCCTCAGCCGTTCCTCACAAGACTTGTGTTCTGAGCCCTTTCCCAGCTCGGCAGCCCAGCTCTGTGCCCTCTCCAGCACCTCAGTGTCCCTCCTGTAGTGAGGGGCCCAAAGCTGGACACAGGATTTAAGCCAGCTCTGAGCAATACTGCATCTGACTACGTCAGATGGAGAAGTTCTGCAGGTGAAACTAACCCCAGGGCAGCTTTGAAACATCTCTGAAGGGGTCTGATCTGATTTGCTTGAGGCATTGCTACCCTACCTGCAAACAGAAGAAAACAGAATACATAGTTTATTGCTGAAAGCTCCCGGTTGCTCGGATCAGAACTTCTGAGAGTGATTCCTGTAGCGTGAGAACAACCTGCTTGAAGATGCGAGGGAGTTTGATGTTTTCCAGTTTCTCAAAGTTTGGCTCAGTCCTGTGAAGAGGAAACACAGAAATCACTGAATTAATGGAAACTGGCTTGAGTTGTGTGGCGTTCTGTTACGTAGCTCCGCAGCTTCCCACCACCGTGGTGTCTGGGTTTTGCCGGCCTCTCCTGGTCTTTGCCGTGAGACGTGCCAGCCTTCCTCTGCTTGGGGCTCAGTGTTGCGCCATGCCTGGATCAGTTTGGGGCAGTTTGGGGTGGGGAGGCCAGCGTGGGCAAGGCGGACCCTGCTGTGCTGAGGGCTTGGCGGTTGGGTGCCTGCACGTCCAAGGGTGCTGCGGACCCTGCTGAAGCTGCTCCTGAGTCCTGGCAGCTCTTGCCGTGCCTGGGAGCTGCAGCTGAGCAGGACTCCCAAGGCCTCTTTTCTGAGTGGCAGGGCAACTTTCCATCGAGAACATCATGCTGAAGACCTTCTGCTGGCCATCCCTCAGCGCCACAGCCACGCGCAGCCTCACGCTGGCCTGCTGCAGCACGGTGCTGAGATGAGGAGCTGCCTGGCCCCTCTGCCCCAGCGGGGAGAAGGGCTGGCTTGGAGGGGCAGCAGGTGTTGGAGAGCGTGAATTGTAGTGTTGGGCCCTGGAAGGCTGGGCTGAAAGGCAGGGACTGAGGTTAAGTTCTTAATGGCCTGGGATCTCCTCTCTGGGCACTGTCGGCTCCGCAAGATCAGCCGTGCTGGCTGGGTCAGCTGAGGACCTGTTGCAGCTGCTGCCCTGCGCTGCCTGGTGAGGAACACCAGGGCAAGGCTGACGCGGTCCCCTGCCCCTTCCAGTCTGCCCCGTCAAGGAGGTTCCTGCTGCAGCTGTCCCGTTCGACAGGAGTGGAACAGCAAGGACAGCAATGCGAGGAACGTGCCAGTACCGGCTGGGACAGTGGGCCCTGAAGGATGAGGAAGTTTTCCTCCTCTTCAAACCAAGACACTTCTTTCCCTGCCTCCAGTGGGTGCAGCCCAGGGGCCTCTGAGAGGGCAGTGGGGTTGTTTGCTCTAGTCCGTGCTGAGCAATGCTTCTGTGAAACTCTCCGGTTGCCTCTTAGAGTTTGGAAAATCATAGGGTCATAGAATGAGAAATTCCGAAGGATGAGCAGAATGACCGTGTTCTTTCACGAGGCAGAGAGCACCCTTGTCCCCAGACGAGTTAGTGCTGGGCTTTAGGATTTCTGCTTAATGCAGTTGGTGAAATCATTACTTCCAGTGAAGTAATAAAATTCGGGGCAGGGGTAAGAGCTGGGCTAGTTTTTCTGTAGCTGACTATTGTGACTCTGATGATAATCGAGAGGATATTGTGCTTTCCCAGTTGTTGGCCTTAATATGTTCAGTCATTCTCTGACAGTCTCTGTCCTGAACCAGCAGTTTTTCCTGTTGCTTTCACCTTTGGCTCCGTACGTGCGTTTCGCTGTGACACAGTTAACAAAAATCAATGTGACTTTGGCAGATAACATCTACCTGGAAATTCTGCACTCGAGTAGTCCAGAACTGAAGGAGGCTCGAGAAATTTTGCGTAAAATAGAACGGCGTGAATTATACAAGTTTTTAGGAGAGACTCGACCTGAAGCAGTGAGGACAATCATGAAGGTTAGTGGACGATTCAGAATTCTGTCCCTGGAAAAAATGTTTTCTAAGTTGCTGACCGTCTTTTTTTTCTCTTATGTTTTATGTATGTTTTGTGGATTTTTGCTTAACTGCTGTTCCAAACGTGGTCAAAAGTTCTCCTCCTCTTTCTTGTAGCTGAGCTATATAATATATTGTAAAAAACTGGGAAGAGTTTTATCTATAGGAAGCCAGAAGAATGGCAAGAGGTGGAAATTCAAAGTTGATTATTGCAGAAATATTCTCAGAAAAAATACAAAATATTCTGAAAAATACAAAATTGCATAAAAAGCTATTGTAGTCCAGTGGTTGACAAGATTGTTGCTGTCGTCTTGTGTTGATTAAAATTTCAAAAATAATAAGGAACACGTTTGCTTTGAATTATAATTTCTGTGCTTTGAGAGCAAATGTGAAACTGAATAATAGCTTCTGCATTTTTTTAGTGTTAAGTTCTATACTTAGCATGGGCATGCATGTTTTTTTTTCAGTGTTTGTTTTTCAAAGCACTCATCAAGTGTCCGTTTAGCTGGTGTCTTCTTTCAAAATAATGTTTGAGAGCCAGCGGCTCAGCTTCTCTTGTAATGTGCTGTACCATGTTACCAAATCATCAGTTAATTATCTCTGAATTTCAGCCTTGATGCTTTCTGTTTTCTGTGCCAAAATGCCTGGAGTGGCTGACTGAAAGTATTAATAAAAATAATTCATCGCTTTTCAGGAGAAAGAGTAGAGAAGGGCTGCTCTATCTTGCTGCTCTGTTCATCTTTTTTTCTTTGAAGAGGTTTGCTTGTGTTCTTTGAGGGTAGTGTTAAGAGATTCTCTATTTAAAAATAGGAAAACGTGAACTGGTTGTACATTGATGGTTGAGTTTTTTCCCTTCGGAGAGGTTGTTCAGGACAGAGCTTAACAGATCCGGGCAAGGGCAGGCGAGTGAATTGCGTGAGTTCCACCTTTAGACAGTTCCTTTTAGAAGCTTGGGGAATGAGAAGGAACTCACTTCAGAATTCCAGCCATGGGCGCTGAGTCTTGGGGTATCTGCCAGGGTGTGGGTTCTGAAGGGAGGCTGGATCGCTCTCGATGCCATCGTTACACCCAGCCAACGCTCTGCAGCTTCTCATGCTCAGCTGAGAGATCGGGGGAGAATTTTTCCTCCTGTGGAGCAGGAGCTTTGGAGGCTCAACTTCCTTGGGAGTGCTGGAGGTGAGCGGTGGCCAGACAAGGCGTAGGTGTGTGTGTTCCCTCGTTAAGCGCCTGCCATCCTGTTACGGTTAGAATCTCAGAGTGGTTTGGGGTGGAAGGGACCTTTAAAGGTCCCCTAGTCCAGCCCTTCTGCCATGAGCAGGGATCTCTTCAGCTAGATCAGGGTGCTCCAGTTTTGTGATCCTCAGACTGGCCAGAGCCATCAAAACATCCCCAATAGCTACAGAGTTCCTGAATTCAAAGCTGAGCTTCCAGTTAATTCAGACTGGGGGAGGTAACTTTAAAAAAAGGCAAGCAAACAGCAGCACTTCCCTACTCTGCTTGGTGATCAACTCATCTTCGCCATGGACAAAGCAGCAGCTGCTTGAATTCCTTCCCTGGATGCTCTCTTCTGGACTCAGAGCTTTTCTCCCGGGACTCTTCTGCTCCTGGGAAATCTTGCTTCATCAAATCTTGCAGCCCTGGGCAAAGGTCAGCAGGCAACCTTCTCTCTCCAGCCTTTTCATGAGAACTTGGGCGTTTCCATCGACGGCTGCTCCCCATCACGCTGTGCTCTTCTGCTGGGCTTTAGCCCAGATACCCGCAGGGAATATTCTGCCAAATAATCAGTCTAAAACCCTTATGGGTTTCAGGTTTTCAAGCAGATCACCCTCCTCTGCAGAGTTTTCCTGCTTTGCTGTTTTCTTGAGTTTGGGGTTTTTTTATTGTTGGGGATTTTTTTGGGTGATGATTGAGGTTTGTTTTTTTATAGTGATCAAGGTCTTTGCTAATCTTGTCTGTCTTTTTTTGTGGTTTTTTTTTTAAAATATGTTTCAGTTTATAGGTGTAAAAGCTTTATTAGAGTGTGAGATCCCCCAGCCCTTCATTAAAAATAAAAAGTTCAATAAAAAACATCTAGTATTCAGCTTTGGGGAATTTAACTGCAAAGCATTTGTATTAGCAGAACAATTGCTTGAAGGTGCTTATTTTCAGTTTTTGTGGAGGCTTCAACGCTCTGGATGAACACACCTCTAGCCCCCTCTGCCCCGTCAGCGGGTGTAAAACTCTTCCTCTGCAGGCTGGCAGCATTTGGGTCTTCTCCATTGTGTAAGCTCCGTTTCTAAATATCAGTAGCAAACTGAGTGGCTAACGGTGTACGATGAACCTGACAACGGCTGCAAGAAGAGTCTGACAAGCCGTGAAGAAGCGAAAGCTTGTTTACTGCTGCCTCCTGTCGTGCGTTTTGTTGCCGTGATCTAGACCCGACGGTGCCTAACTGTAACCCGAGTTACCTTTTTTTTTTCCAGACTAATAACCTGGCAGAAAGCTTTGCTAATTCCAAGCCAATAAAGGATCCTCCAGCTGTGGAGCTGAAGGCTGAAGATTTCGTAATTGATGTAAATATCTCTCGGAGCGGGTTTGGAGTGAAAACTCTCCATCACAGAGAGTCTTGTAAACCGGAGGAGAATCGGAGATGCTTTTCAGTCCACTTGTGAAGTGAAAAAACAGACACCCACAGCTGCCTCCCAAATGCCGTCCTAGCTGCGCATCACGACTCGCTTCTAACGCCCCGTTGCTTTAAAGATTCGCTGGCTAAAATCAGAGCAGTTGGTTCGGTTTTGAAGGACCTGACTGTGCTCTCCTTGTCCCACAAGTTGAAGTCGGGGGGAGGTGGGCCCCTCCCTGCTGCCCACAAAACTGTTGGTGTGAAACACGTTGTCTGACCCTCGTGTGGAAGGTTGTAGGCTCTGCCGGCGCCTCCACCGGTTCGGTGTTTTGGGGTGGAACAGCCTGGTGAGGGCCCAGGGCGCTTCCGCTGCCGGAAACGGGCTGTGGCAGAGAGTGACTGGGAGCTGGTTGGTGTGAATGGGGATATCCCCCTGGCTCTTCAGAGTGAAAGGTGGTGAAAGAAAGACAAAAAATGCCAATACAAGATGATTTTATTCAGTAATCATCTGTTAGTTGCTGTTCTGTTTGATCAGTGTCGTTTACAGCATATATCCTTTTTTATTTATTGTGGGAAAACGGAAGACAACCATTAACAAATACCATTTTCTTTATTTTGCTTGCAAGATTATCAATATGGATTATGGAATGAAAGAGCAGAATCCCATCGATAATGTTCTCTTCTATTGCAAGGCTGATCCTTCCAAGGCAATCAGGATCATTAAGGAACAGGTAGTCTTTCATTTTCCTCAGCTGGTTTCTGAAGGGCATCTTCTTCACCGCTGGCGATGGAAGTAACTGCTGTCGTTCGTGGTAATCCTCGCAGAGGAGGTGGTGGAATCCTTGGGCTTTCAGGAGGCCTTTGGTGGTTGTTGTACCACGACAATCTGGAATCCTGACAGCCTTTGCATGTAGATACTATTTAACTTGAATACATTGGGAGCTGTAGCAAAATACAGTTTATTTGGATAAAGCTCATGGCTTGTGGTGTTTTTTTTTTTAATGCTTTCCATTTGTGTTCAGGTGAGGAAATTAAAACTTAGTGGACTCTGGATTTCAAGAAATACTAAAGCTTATTTCTTTTTTTCTTTTTTTTTTTTTAATTATTCCAAAGGTTTCAAAGCTTTTACCCACAACGTTTGCAGAGCAGGTGATCCGGGTTTACTGCAAAAGTCAGGATCCAGACATTGTTTCAGCTGCAAAGCAGTATTTAATTCAGTGGTGTATGAAGAACGATTTCACCAAACCGCAGGTAACAAAGTCACGTTCGTTTCTTGCACTTGGAGCTCTTCACCTTTCTCCATAAGCTTGCACTTCCATTTAAGAACCTGGCCTTCAGGCCATGTCCTTGGGGCAGAGCCCCAGCTCACCCAGCTTCTGGTTTTACTGTGGCTCGCATCTGGGCGTGCTTTGCTTTCACTGAAATAGTGCTGGATTTGCATTGATTCAATTTACGTCACTTGAAAAGTCACGGGTTTAGAACAAAAGTTGGTCTCCACGGAGACACTCACTAGTTCATGGATGCAGGTCTTTCTAATATAAAGCCTTAAACAGCACTGAGAGATTGAGAGATACAGGGAAGAGGTTGGATGGATTCTTCTGTTGCTTTCCTTCTTTTCCTTCCCTGTTTGCCAGCTGTTAAACCTGTGAATCCCCCAGGTGATCTGCGGTGAAACCACCTGCTTTGAGTTAGAGTGGAAAACAGCTGCGGGGACAAGACGGCAAACCTCTGCTCTCTGGCCAGCGAGTCCAGGTTGCCTCAAGGCCTTGTCTGTTCTCTGCATTCGCTTTTCTGCCAGCGCTCAGAACAGAGTTTTCTAGCTGTGAGGAAGGAGGAGGGCAGGTTACAGCTCACCTGACCTTTCGTTTTGTGTTGGGAAATGCGTCAGAGCAGCCCTGGCGAGGAAGGCGGAAACTCTAGAGCAGATCCTGAGCCCGTACATCTCGTTTTGCGCTCCTCCTGCCCAAGGTGGTGGAGAAGCCTGGAACAAATCGTGGCTGCAAAGTGGTGACGTGTGACACGGTTTTCTCGGTAGAAAATGCCAATGGAGCCGTTCTGCTCCGTACGTGAGCTGTAGAGCTTCTAGGCTGAAAGTGTCACTAGATTTTTGATGTGCTGGTAAATCTGCTGTTACACTTCTCCCCTAATGACTGGCTTTCACTTTGGTTTGTTTGGTTCGGTTTGGTTTGTCCAGGAAAAGGGACAGCTCTCTTCAGTGCCAGGCGCTTTTTCAGATATTTTCCGCTCTTTGGGATCAAGCCTTACAGTGGAATAAATGCGTGTATTAAAATCTCCAGGCTGCTTAAGAAATGCGGTGTGAACAGTTTGGTCTGTGAACCATGGCTGGTGGTTTGATTTCTTTTACCTTTTCATCAAGAGTGTTAATATCCATGACTTG